AACTGACCAACCAATTGATCCATACTGCATCTGAAATTCATACCTGCACAAAACAGTTACAACTTTTTAGCATTAAGCATAGCGGAGCTTATATTGCTCTTATTAAAGACTCCCAACTTACCCACAATTCTCAGGGAGGCGGAGTTTCTGACAGTTGAACCATGAGTCTCCCGTCTCAGCAATTACTGCATTATCCCCACTTAACATGGCCTGTTTAATGTTTGAATTTGTCGTAACAATTGGAAGTAAGAAACCATAATGAAGCAGGAATAATGAAGAATGTAGATCCTATATATTTTGCTGCTAAGAATCTTCAATCAAACTCATTAAAGAGACCTACACAAGCTAGCATCCATGTTATCATGGCAGCTAACCCCTATGATGACAAGGATGGAGAAATGAGTGGATGCTCAAATGACCTATACAAGCATTTTTCCCCTTCCTAAATGAGAAGGAAATAAAGGAAAGAAGCCAGGAAAAACAAGCAAAATATATGTTTAGACTTTTAATATTCATTAGAAGCATATCTATTGATAAGCATAGATATTGTTTTTATAATCATGCAGTTCATAGACCTCTAACATATTCCAGTCAGAAATATTGAATCACATTATTCATTTTGAGCCTTACCTGAACGTGCTTAAAGAGTACATTGACCCTAAGAGGCTCATCTTTCTCATGGTTCAAAGGCATGCCAGGGGGTACAAAGATACGTCTGTAATTTTCCATAGCTGTGCTGTTTTTCTTCAGTTTTTTGGCCAATGCACTTAAGAAGTCAGCCATAAAAACCCATCCAAGGGAAGGGCCATTGCCAATAGTAACACGATTAGGCTGCACTATAATTGATTTCTCCTTCTTGATCAGCAAAGAATATCCAACAGAGCTGTAATCATTGAAGATGGGACCAACAAAAACATAGGCATCAGCAGACTCCACTATCTCTCCACAGAAGCTGGTGCTGACAGCACCCCAATATGTCCCAATGAAGTGAGGATGGCACTCTGGCACTAGCCCTTTTCCAGAAGGCATGACAGCTACGGGATATCCACTGGCATCTGCAAATTCTACAAAGGCCTTCTGCGCCTTTGCTACTCTAAGCTTGGGTCCGCCCACAATGACAGGCTTCACAGCTTTATTCAGAAATTCAGCAGTTGCTTCAACAGCTGCTTCTAATCCTAAACAGTTGCTAACCCTGCATGAAAAGCAAAGCATAACTGCTTCGATATCTCTGTAATAATTATTTCATATAATTAATGATTTTTAAACAAACCAGAACACAATCTCTTCAGGTATATTGTCCTTGTCTATCAATAAACTGATCACCAGGCCTGATGATTGCAACATGCAAAATCTAATAACGTGTCAACTTCTTTCTTTCGGTCTTTCCATTATCCTATTTTTCCAGTTGGGATAAACAAACTTCAACAACATATTGTAACACGATAATTGATAAATAACCAAAAACTTCTCCTCTAAAATATACATTTTTTATCTTTTTATCTGTGCCTCAACTTTACCCCTTTTTGTATCTATTTCATCATAACAAAATTCATTTATTACCTTCATTTAACTTTTTTTTATGTCAGCATATTACAGCAGCCCAGTGTCTTCTTCCTGTTTGCAACCTTATTAATTTCCTTGTTCCTGAAAGCATTTTATGGACAATTTCTTCTATCTGCTCATGACCATCAGAGCTATCTATATATTAGTTCATTCCGATTGCCATTGTTCACATTAATTCTAATTTACCATTATCACATTTAGAATTTGACAAAGTGTCAAAAAGTCATAAAAAATCATAGACATTAAACCTACAGCTAGGATTGAGCTCCCCTTTCAATTCAACTAATCAAATTGTATCAAGTTCTTGATGGCAAGGGTATCATCAAGCCACATTGAGCGTCAACCAAGACTAGGTCCTTTTACAGCCATCCGGCGCACCCTCGACATCGGTGTCCAAATACTAAACCAAGAGACTTGAAAAATGAGAGAAAACACTTACTTGGGTGCCAGAAAGAATGGCACAGGTTCTCTACAGAAAGTAGGATGAGGAATTCCAGGCAAATTACAGCTTATACTAATATAAGCTGGTTTACTTTCCTTCAAAGCAGTAGAAATTGCCGTGTCAATCTGCTCATGTGCATCATCCAAGTTGTTCACCACTGCCTGTCACACATTGCCACCACCATTACACCATTTATGATATAACACATGCAACATATACTATAGTTCCTTGTGCACAAAAATTATCACAGAACACATAATTAGGATCCATATTTTACATTAAATACAATTTCCTAACGCAAACGGATACGTAACATCATGGACGGACAGAATTGTTTCAGGCCTAATATATATATATAATCAAATTACTTGAATGCCATGGGCAAAAAAACTTACTTGAATGCAGGTTACAGTCTGAAAGCACCTAAGCTCCTGGGTAAAATCAGGCAACCCAATAGTGTGATGCAAAATCCTGTTAGTTCCATAATCATTGGAATTGGGGCCACCAACAATACAGATAACAGGCAAATTCTCACTATAGGCACCAGCAATCGCATTGAGCACACTAAGCCCACCTACAGTGAAAGTCACAACACATGCCCCAACACCTTTGGCACGCGCATACCCATCGGCAGCATAGCCAGCGTTCAGCTCGTTACAGCAGCCGACCAAGTTCAGCTCTGGCTCGGCTATCAAATGGTCCAAAAGTGTCAAGTTAAAGTCTCCAGGAACAGAGAACACATCTCTCACGCCGATCTCTACCAGCCGCCGAGCTAAATGGCGCCCCAAAGTGCCACTGAAGGCATGGCTAGGAACAGGAGCAGGAGCTGAGCTGGGGTGTGCTACTGAGCCAACTTGGTTTGCAGATTCCATGTTAAAACAAAAGCGATGCAAAAATATGAAGGAAGGGCTTGAGCTTTTAAGAGCGTAATGAAAGAGTAGTTTTTTTTTTCTTTTTCTTTTTTGTTGTGGGGTTTGAAGGGTTTGTCTGTATGATTATATAGGTTTGGACAGATGGGATTTTAGTTTCAAAAGAAGTTCTGGTTCTTCTCTGGTTCTGGGTTTTGGTCTTGGTTTTGAAAACAATGGGAAAACAATGGTGAAGCCAAGTTGATGAGGAGGGTTTAGATTCTTAATAGTAGTATTTTGACAAAAACCATGAAAGGTCATTTGGGAACAAGAAAAACTAGGGTCCATTACATGGTGGGTTTAGATTCTTAATAGTGGTTTTGCCGCTGGTTTAACAATGATTAGTATTTTAAATTGGGAGTGGTGTGGTGTGGGGTATATTTGCATGTTCAGGAACTAGAAAAGGACAATAGTTGAAACATAGAAAAATCAAAGGTGGTGACTGGTGTCTGGCGTCTGGTTTTTAATTTGCTGAAAGTTCCTTATTGCATGACAGGAATCGGTTTTCTTAACACTTGGATAGAATATAAGGCTACTTCAGTCCCACATTTTGAATAAAAAACCTTATACTCCAATGATAATAGTCTTTTATAATAAGAAATCAAATTGTTTTAAATTTATGATTTAAAAAAAAAATCCTACATTTTGAAAAAGTCTCAAATTCTTACGTGAAAGAGAGAATTTCATAGTTTGATCAGTCATACCATCAATTGATTGGTAATTTTCGACCCTTGCTAGCCATTATTTCAATTGACAAATATCCCTCGATTTTGTGTTTCTAGACAAAAAGAATTTGCAGTCCTTCATTGGAGACAAATTGCCTGAACTTTCTTTTGTAGGGACCAGAAGCATTTTTTGTTTTTTTTTCCTTTTTTTTTGCCATCGGGTAGAAATTGAATATTACACATTCATCCTTATGGAAGATAACTAAACCACTCATCGGATAGAAACAAAATGGGTTATTTTACCTTTTTGTATTGGAGTTAAAAAAAAAAAAAATAGAACTTTTTTTATTTTTTGGGGTTTGATGTTTGAATTTGATGACCTTGATTTTGACCATCAAACCAATACTTTTTCATGTACGATTGCTTTATAACAAGTTGACATTTCTTGTTGTTAAATTCATGAATTGTTGTTTTGAAGCAGCAAAATTTGAAGCTTGCGTACACTGACTTGAGGGAAGAGGAATTCTTCCGTCACTATTCCAACACAAGTTACATGTAACTTGACATCTAGAGAGTATAAATAATTGCAATGTCTATTGGTGCAATTTAGGCAATAAATCCAAATTTTATCTTTCGCAACTTATTGTAACCTGAACATCTAAGTTTTCATTATTCGAGAAAAAAAAATTATTTCTATTTGGGCAAATGATAGAGAAACATTGGTTTGGGTTGACAATAATTTACTGTTTCAAACGCCATTATCACCCACCTTAACATCCCAAAAGAGCTTCAAGTTCTGATCTGAAGAAATCGGCCCATTAGGCCTATTAGTCTAATCGTACCCAACCAAAAATTGGGTTCAATGGGCTTTCCAAGCCAAGACAACAGTTTCGTGTATGCCCAGTTAATACCTGCGACAAGACATTGTTGATGTGACATAAGATATTGTTAATTATTTTGGCAATAATTACGTTTTCTTTGTACATGTTACCCGAGAAAACTCAAATTTGCAAGTTCTGCAAACTCATGGTCAGTTCCAATGGTTTTTTTAGAAAAATTTTGTTGAAGAGGAGAGATTTCCAATTTATAAAGAAAGTATCAATCAAATTCAGTGATTTTGGGTTTTTTTTTTTTCTTTTCTATCCTATCTTCAATGAATATAGATAGTCAACAATCCATAAACCCTAAGGACAGGTTCCGCTAAATATTAAGCACTACCATCAAAACAAAAATTAAGCAGTAACTATTTTGTAAAAGAAAACTAGCTTTGCTTAATCTCTGAAAAAAATTATCCAATAAATACTATCATCTTATTCCCATGTCCAAAAACAGTCAAACTACATCCAATAATAATAATCAACAATGAATGCAATCACAAATACTATAGACAGATACATCTATGTGCTCTCTGAATCAAGAACTCTAGCAAGGAATCTTTGAGGTGAACCACTTCATGACAAGAAATGGAGCCTTAATCAACCCCAGTGCAAACTCAACTATGATCGTCACACACAAGCAGCAAGGGCATATGCAAGTCAACGCCAATCTGTAACACACAAGAAAAAGAGAGAGAAGGAAAAAGAAAACGCCAACTTCAAATTAGTTTTCCCATGCCATAAACATTTAGTACTAAACAAGCAGACAGATATGCATCCTATAAGATTAAGTTCATCCAACTTTAAGAAATCAAATCGTAAAGAAAGATAATGATACTAACCCAACAATCCACACGAACACACCGATGATAGAGAGGATGATGGAGAGAAAAGCAAAGGGCAGGCCTAAGAGAAAGCCTAAAGGCCTGCATTTACAATCATCATCACAGCAGCAGGAACACATGGTTTCTTGTTTTGAGGTTTTCTTGTTTTTGCTGGAAGTTTATGTTATTGGTAGAACAAACATATCGATGTTTGACGGAGAATACAAAAGAATACTATTAATTAATACGACAAACAGCTAAAAACTTTGTTTATTTGTATGTGCCGTTCAGCTTCTGCTAAATGATTGTATTGAAAGAAACGGATGACCAACCTGTGCCAAATTCCCACGTAAGTTTCAGTAGTTTACAAAGATTAATGAAACTTCTCTGTGGGTCATCCATTCTCCTATTATGTTATTGATTTGGTTTCGGATTTCCTTATTCAATGAAGATTTTTCAAACTCAAAGAAGCTGAGCTGTTTCTTTATCCTGAAAAAACAGAGACAAAAAATAAATTTATCCACCAGAAAGTGACTTGGTGATTGCATCCAAATTTATTTCCATATATTGATTTTCACATACCCTTTTCTCCTAAAAAGAGAAACATTAGAACACAGACGTATGTAGTAGATAAGTTTTACACAAATTATTTATTTTGCTGCCGTGACCGACTTGATTGGCCAAAAAAAAAAAAAAAACTAGAAAATAAATGAGGAAATCTTCACTCACAATCAAGAAATACGACTTTCTCACTTGAAGAGAGAAAAAATCCAGGAGACTAACAAGGAAAAGATTACTATTAAGTAAAGGCCAGTAATTAAGCAAACCATTTATTTATTGACAATCAATTTATGAAACCACAAAGAATAATCAATAAGGTCAGAAAATATATTTTTCCCCTCCCCTTCTCAGTTAAACCAGATGAGAACCACAACTGACTGCAAGCTCATCAATGAGATAGAAGACTAACTGAGACTTATTCTTCATCTGCCTTTGGAGACCAAGGACTTTGATGGGAGAAGCATAAATACATAGACTAAACCACTAATTCATTCTGGAAATCTCCATGTCAGTTTTCTTCGCAAAAGGAAATGGCATCGGCATGAATGATGACGAACATTGCTCAGCTGAAAATCATACTTTGGCAGGGAAACTGGACTTCCAAATACCGGGATGTAAGACTTGCCTTTTGTCTATTGAGATTTGAGCAGGATGCATAATCATTGAGAACGTAAATGAATCAGGCAGCTGTGTATCGCACTTGATTACATGACGGGAGTTCCTTGGGTACTTTCTCGAAATTCTCAGTAGTAAACCTGAACTTTTGAATTCTACGGCTCTATGACTTTTCAAAATTCATCGGTGTCTGTACCTCAATCCAATGCTCCAAAGCTTTACGGGTAATAGCAATTTCATAATTGAGAATGTAAACTAGTCTGGTGTAGCTTCTCAAGCTTAAATGACAGCATTATGAGGAAAGTAAAACAAAATTGGAAACCTTTTCAGAGAATGCCCTTGGATAAATGACACATGTGAACAATGATGTAGAACAAAATTCAAACGGATAGACCCTTCTCAGTTAATATGCCGGTTCATGTCCTTTGCGCAACTTGAAACCTTATAAATCAATTTCAGTTCCAACCCTACTGCAAGCAGTATCTTTTGATATCCCTCGTAACTTCATTGTCTCCCTAAGCTCACTCACACTATCCCATCTCTCAGCAGCAGCCAAGGTGTTAGATAATGCAACAAACGCACCAGGTCGACCTTTAGCATTTAGCTTAAAAAGTTCATTGGCAGCTATATGCGCCATCTCTACATCGCCATGAATATTACAAGAACTAATCAGAGCTGCCCAAACATCAGAATTGGGCTTCTCAGGCATCCCTTTAACAAGCTCCCATGCCTGCTGTAAATTTCCGGCACGACCTAACAAATCAACCATGCAAGCATAATGCTCCATCCTTGGTTTCATTGAATAATCTCTCTCCATGCTCTCAAAGATCTCACGGCCCTTGGTGACCAAGCCAGCATGTCCACAGGCCGACAAAGCACCAAGGAAAGTAACGTAATTAGGCTCGATATTACACTGTTGCATCCTATGAAACAGCTCAAGCGCTTCCCTGGGCTCTCCATTCTTCCCACATCCATCAATCATTGAAGTCCAGGAAAACACATTCCTCACTGGCATGTAGTTGAAAACTCTTCTTGCATCCTCAATTCTACCACATTTTGAATACATGTCTATAAGAGCACTTCCCATTTTCACATCCTTATAAAGATCACTCTTCATAAGCTGACACTGAACTTGCTGACCTATCTCAAATCCTGCCAACACAGAGCAAGCCCCAATGACACTTGCAAAAGTCGACCCATTAGGCCTAAAATCAAATCTCTGCATGTCAACATAAACCTCAAGCGCTTTCATAGCTGTTTCAACCGATTTGCTATAACCTTCCACCAGTGCATTGAAAACCACGATGTCTTTTTCAACTGTCTTCCTAAAAATCTCTTCAGCATCTTCCACAGAACCATGACTCATGTAACCAGAAATCATCGATGTCGAACAAATCACATTCTTTTCCAACATCATGTCAAAAACCTTCCTTGCATAGCCAACCTTACCACTCTTCACATACGAATCAACAAGCGCTGTATAAAGGACATCATCAGCCTTAACATCCAATTTCAAAATCTGGGCGTGCACTAAACCCCCTGTATTACGGGGCAATATCACATCGGCACCACTAGTAGAAGCCTTCAAAATCATCGAAAATGTAAACCCATCAGGCCTTTCACCATCAAGATCCAACCTACGAACCATACTAATCGATTCTTCAAGTAAACCTTGTCTCAAGTACCCACCAATCATATAATTATAAGCTGAAAGAGTTCGTTGAGGCAATTCATCAAACATCTGGCGTGCATACTGCAAACACCGACATTTTAAATGAAGGATCAGAAGTTTGATAGAGATATTAACATTGGGACGAAACCCAGTTTTTATAATATGGGTATGGATCTTTTGGCCATGAAAAGGGGTATCTGAGTTGATGTAGTGTTGTAGAGCTGAGGACAGAATGTTGGAAGTTTGGGGTAATGTAGTCTTGTTGATTTGGCGGGAATATAATTGATGGGCCATGAGGAGTGTAGTTATGGGTCGATGAGAAAATGAACGGTCTGTTTGTAGCTAATTTGACAATTTTCATCTTGCCATTTGATTTGTTCAGTTTCATGTGACGATGAATCGTTTTGTGCCACAAGAGCTTAGGAGAAATATGATCGTTTTGAGGAAAAACCAAAAGCATGAGTTAGGGCCTAAGGCTTTAAAACTCATGTGGCCGTTGTTGAATTTAATTGTAATATGAGAGATTTATAAAATTACGATATTATATTTTTTTTTTTCAAGATTCTTATGATTAACTGTTCTCTCTTTTCAAAAAATAATTTTAAAAATCCCCAAATGAGTGGGTTCAAAAAACAAATTGAAATACAATAAACTATGATTAGTTTTATAATGGATTTTGTCTTTGTCTTATTTGATATTTGTACTTTTTGAATTATTTTAATTAAAATCATATATATATATATATCGAGTTTTTTTATCTTCTATTTTATTTTATCGTTGTCACTTCATTATAATGTCATTAGTTAGTGCATTAACTGATTTAGGAGTTCCTTCATCCTTGTATCAATTAAAAGGATTCGGTATAAAAAAGAATAAGATATAATTGGATCGTGGTCTACAAGACAATTATCTCCTAGACTCCAATATGAAAAAGACTTAAAATAATGATCATATGTATACTTCTACTTCTCTTAAGGATTTTTTAGTATTTTCTTGAATAAAATAACTAAATCTATTTATTTAATATCAGCTTTTCAACCTTTTGATGAAGTTTGCAAATTTACCCAAACATGTTATATTGCAAGTTTGAAAAAGCAATTGTTCACAACAATAATGATTGTAAATAAGCAATTCTAATATCTTAAGCTAATTTGAAATCAAAACAACAAGTTCAAACTAAAAATTATATGATTAAACGACCTATGCACAAGAAAAGATAAGATTGCAAATTTAATAATATAATAAATCTAAGCAAAAACTCACATTTGTTATGAAAGAAATAGAAATAATAGGAGAATTGAATAGAAATATGATAGAAAAGTGAATTCACTATAGATAAAGAATACAAGAGATAACAACTTCAAATAATCTTTCAATCTCTATAAAATACTTGTACATCAACTAATGAACAATCAAGCATATTTATAGTCTTTAAAATTAGGAAGAGAATTTGAAATGATTATGAACCATTAAAAGATGCATAAATAATTGAATAAATTGCATCACCTTTTTAATTTCTCATATTGAATGATATGAATAATGAAAAATATGAAATGGATATTCATTATCTCACAACAGACATTCACTTATAATAAAGAATGCTTGGAAATGGATATTCCAAGCATATCAATCCCTCACCATCATGAACTCCGGATGCAAGGTAATAACCATAAACTAATATATTAGTCTATTCAATTACAACTTATTGGATAGCGATCTATAAGACAATTACCTTCTATACTTGAATATGAAAAAGACTTAAATAATGATCGTATGGGTACTTCTACTCCTTTTAAGGATTTTTTAGTATTTTCTTGAATAAATTAACTAAATCAATTCATTTAATATCGACTTGTCAACCTTTAGATGAAGTTTGCAAATCTACCCAAACATGTTATATTGCAAGTTTGAAAAAGCAATTATTCACAACAATAAAGATCGTAAATGAGCAATTCTAATATCTTAAGCTAATTTGAAATCAAAACAACAAGTTCAAACTGAAAATCATACAATTAAATAGCCTATGTACAAGAAAAGATAAGATTACAAATTTAATAATACAATAAATCTAAGCAAAAACTAATATTTGTTATGAAAGAAATAGAAATAATAAAAGAATTGAATAGAAAGATGATAGAAAAATGAATTCACTATAAGATAAAGAATACAAGAGATAACAACTCCAAATAATCTCTCAATCTCTACAAAATACTTGTACATCAACTAATGAACAATCAAACCTATTTATAGCCTTTAAGATTAGGAAGAGAATTTGAAAGGATTATGAACCATTAAAAGATGCATAAATAATTCAATAAATTGCATCGTTCTTTTAATTTCTCATAGTGAATGATGAATTAAATGATATAAATAATGAAAAATATGAAATGGACATTCATTATTTCATAACAACATTCGCTAATAATAAAGAATGCTTGGAAATGGATACTCCAAGCATATCAATCCTTCACCATCATGAACTCGGATGCAAGGTAAGAACAATAAACTAATATACCAGTCTATTCAATTACAACCTATTTGATTACAATCTACTTGATTATAGCTTATATATTACTCTTTACAAGTTACTGACCTAACAAATTTCAATTGTGTAAAAGCTTGAGATAGTATTGTAAGACTTATTAGTAATTTGCAAATTAAGTTTGTTTGTATGGTATTATCTCGTTTTTCTTCTATTTTAGCTTGTATTTATAGGCTTTTCACTCTTCTATGATTTTTTTAAATAGACGAGTTCTTCTATAGTTTACCATGTCTATATCTCGCTTGCAAATTTTCATTCTATGTTGTAATATCTTATATTTTTATGTTATTATCTTGGTCGTGTCTTTTTAATGTTGAATTCTCGTTGAATCTTTATTAATCACGTTGCTAACTAGTTTTTTGGTTGTCAATACTATTACTCTTCAAGTTTATTCAACAACAATTCAATTTTATCAAGAGTCTATGTCCCATTATCTCTTTAAAAATCGTTACATTCATTATTTTCTTTCTAGGCATTTCTAACTAGTTGTTGAGTTTTCAATCAATTAGGCTTGAGTTAGATATTTGGGCTTTTGGTTAGAGTTTAGAAACTAAATTAGGTATTGGGCCTCAATTGAACATAGGTCTTACTACTCTTTTTCTTTAATTTAGGGGGTTGTCTAGTCCCATCTAAATTTAAAAATAACGCATACATTATACAATAATGTCAAAACCTCATTTTGATGTGCAACTTGTGTCATATTATGGGACACTATAGAGAGAATTAATCAATTAAAAAAGAGTATGAGGCTTCAATTAAAATAAATTGAATAATATTGGACCAAATAATAAGAAAAAGAAAACTTAAGTTTTCAAAACATACAAAAATTGAAAATTAATTTACAAAAATTAACAACCCTAATAAAAAAAAACCTAGATTATATATAAAAAAAATACAAAAAATGAAACTTAAAAACTTAAAAAATCCAAAAAAAAAAAAAACTAAATATAATTCATATAATATAAAACATTAATACTCGATGAGAAAATTTAAAAAAAAAAAAAAATCAATGTCATACAAATTTATTTCATTCTCGTAGACATATCTCGATTTACAAGACTTTGTGGACATGATTTTCCATTTTCAAAATTTGACAAGTCACCACCAAGAGATGTTATCTAGCAATAAATATGTTGTTTTGCTTTGATCAAAGCTAAATTTTAATTCTCATTATTCAAGTAAAACTAGTCATAATTAGCTATTAGTGGTATCGGACATGGACTACTTTGGTCTAAGAGACAATCTAATGATCGATTAAAAACTAAACGTGATCTAGTACTAGCTTAGCCGGAAAAGTAATGGATTTAGTCTTGCTTAATATGAAAGTTGATCGAGAATACCCCATTGATTATGTGTATATATATATATATATCACAAGGTGTTATTCTTTTAATTTTTTTCAAATTTTTTCAAATTTTTTTAATTTTTAATGTTTTGTGGTTTTCTCTAGGTTTCACGTTTTTTTTCCCTAGGCTTTTCAAAATTAATTTTCTTTTGAATGATTTTAGGGCATTTTGGTCCAAAAAACCATAAAAATGACATACGAGAAGAATATATATATATATATATATATATGGACACATGGAAGTGAATTTTTTTTTAAAATAACATTTGAAAGAATGCAGATAATATATAAGGTTAGATGGATAAATCAATCATACAATCAAAATTAATTTTTAATTATTATATGTTTTGAAAATTAGATTTTTTTTTTTTTTTGCCAATTTGTTGGTCTATATATTCTTGAATTGTTTTGATTGAAGGTTTTTTTTTTTTTTTCTATATTGGTTTATTTTTATTTGTTTTTATTGAGATCTCACATGTCACATGTATAGCTTATTAGGATGAAATTTGCCAACAATTTGCTACGTAGACTTACAACCTAATGGCGTTATAATAATAATAAAAAAATAATAAAAAAGTAAAATAAAAAGTAAAAGAATTCACTAAATAAAAAAAGTATAAATTTTAAATCAAAATAATTCCAAAAGTATAAATACCAACTAATTTTGACAATAAAAGCAATTAAGTATGTTCGAGCATCTTAATGAGTGAATTTCTTCGTGAATTTAGCATTGTTCTTTATTCAAGAGGCGGCAGTGGGATTTGAAGGAAGAATATGAGCTTGCAATCAGTATATATCTCTTAGCTCGGGGTATTCATTGAAAAAAAAAAAAATAGAGCTGTCAAACATTAGAGCTTGTAGAGTAACAGTACTGTTAGTATAGCATCGTAAATTTTTTTAAAAAATGGTACCTGAAAAAGGCCTGTGTGGTGAGTCCAATTAGATTTTTAGAGCTCAAGAAGGTCTGAAGTAATTTTGGGCTAAAGCCCAAAAGCATGTGATCAGTTTTGGAATTTGAGGAGTCAGAATTGTTTGGGTGTTAAGAGGTATAAAAAAATTATGTTCATCTCAACCAGCAAAACTTTCAGTACCTTTTTGCTATCAAAGGGATAGACCAGACAGGGAATTGGAACAAAAACATTTAGGGTAACATAATTGTTTTTTTTTTGTTCTTTTAAGCTAAATGCATCAATTTTTTTTTCTGAATTGTAATTCATCTGAAATCAAGTTTTTTAACTTCAAATTTGATTTTTTGGATTTTTAAATTTTAAATTTTTTGAGATTTATTTAATTCTTCAATTTTTTGTCATTTATCTTAAAAAATAAAAACCGCATAAATAGCTATATGATGGAAATCATTTATTAAAATTTATATGATATTTCTCAAAAAAATTGAGATTATTTTTT